GGTGTTTTAGATGAGCAAAGAGGACATTGCGCGAAGATAACTGTCGCAGTGGGATTGTCGGCCCCAGAGCGCGGAGGCTGGCCCCACAACCTGAAGCCCTGTCAGCCTCCGCCTTTCACTTCTCTCCAGGGCATTGCCTGAGAACCCATGTGAGAGTCCGGTTTTTTCCAAGATTATTTTACAATTCTCTTATATTTACTTCATTTTGATTGGCTTAAAATGTCTGTGAATTTGAACTTATGAACAGGAAAAATACAGAGCACATTCCTTTTTCATGTGCTAAGAAATTCAGTAAGAAAATTATGGTATTAGATGAGTAGAATATTCTTTGTGCATTAAACATTGTTTTAGAACATCAGTAACCTAGAAGGATGCTCACAGTATAGCAAGCAATAAAATTTAACATTGGTATATGTGGTAGGAATTAAATATATGTGTTCATATATGGAAAAGAAAAAACTGGAGGACCGTAGCACCACATAGAATTAGTAGTGATTTCTAGTTGGTAGGCATAGAGTAACTTTTATTTTCTGTTTATTTTCTTTTAAACTAAAAATACGTATAATGAGATGCAGAATTAATCATAAGAAAGAATGTTACTTTAAATTCTTATGACATTGAGTGTACAGTAGGGAAAGAATTATTGGGTTCTCCTTTGTCTAGATTTCAAGAAATAACGTGCCAGGCCCTGTGCAGTTTTTCAGGATGTGTGTGTGACAAAGTGGGTGACAAATGGCACCAATTCCTGCCTTCTAGAAACATGGCCTGGCAGAAATTTTAGGGTGGTTGTGAGTAAGCAACCAAGTTTTACATGAACTGTTTTCCCCTGGCTATCTCGATAACTTTATGGAAACTACATGGCACACTGGAAATACTATAGACCAGGTATGTGCCCCACTGTGTCTCCTGCAGAAGTGTGGCCACAGACTCAAGAATCTCTCTAGACCTTGGAAGTTTTAAAATCACCCTCCCAGAGAGATGCAGCTGCTGAAGATAAGCAGGCTAAAGAAATACTGCTAGATTTCTTGTAGACATTTTTCCCTTGGCCAAGAACTAAGGATTTGTGTAGCGCTTAGGGTTTGGGGGGAGGATTTGGTTTGATTTGGGCTTTGAGTGGTGTCAGGAATGGAACCAGGACCTTGTGCATGGAAGGCAAGTGCTCTACCACTGAGCTATACCTCCAGCTCCTCAGTTTAGATTTTAAGGGTAGTCATTTCTAAAGTACCACAATTTAGGGTTTAATGACTTCACTGAGAGTTCTTGTTTCATGGTTCTTTGAGGTTATTGTATATGTTGAAACAACTATATTCTTTAAAAAGAATAACCAAATGAGATATAGAGAGTATAGATTAGGGGCTCCATTTACTAAATTTCATTTATTTTCTCACTTTTAGTACTTTTTTATCTCATCGTATTTAAAAAAAATTTTTCTTAGTACCTGTTTGCAGTACATAATGTTTACATTCCTTGTGGATCTGGTACATGTACATAAGATTTTCCTACAAATGACTCATTTATCTTTCTTTATGGCAGAGTATTATGTCATTGTGTGTAAACTTTCCTTTGACGTTGGAAATTGTTGGCAGCAAGATTTGATAAAGTCTCCAGCTGTGCCATTTTTTCCTTGCACTTTGCTGAAGTGTCTGCTGCTTTGATCTCTGATTAAAATTGCTGTATAGGAATGTCAGTCCATTTGGACCAAAAATGTAGCACTTAGTCTTATTTTGAAAGTGACCTTTCAAAATAAAAAAATAAATCAATATATTATGTATGGTTGTTGGTATTGGATATAGAAGACCAATTTAGTTGTAAGTACAGTAAATACTAAAATAGAATGTCTTTGTTAGTTCTTCACCACCAGGAATAAGACCTTAGAGTTTTATAGATTGACCTAAGATTGTGGAACCAGAGTTTGAGATGTAAAAGGAAAGGAATGTTAGAACTGAACATCGAGTCAGGGGCTCCTAAGGTCTCCGTGTTGGTTTGCTGTTTGGGTTCAGACAGTGCTATTTGGCATCTGGAGCACTTGTTGCTGAGATGTAGGTGGCCACCTCATCCCAAAGGAAGAGCGACTTGATGGAGGCCGTCAGAGATTGCTGCTAAACACGAGTGGGGAGTTTTAGGTGTCAGGCTACACCAGATCTCCAAGACTTGCCTCTGCTTTGACATTGCTAACTTTTCTTCCTTGGAACCTACCAGGGCCCTCGGGAACAACCATCATGATTTCTGGGGCTTGGCTACTTCCACCATGAACTGTTCCTGTGGCACTCACTGTGGTGATTTCCTCTGCCAGGAATCAGTTCTTTGTCTTTCCTGGAGAGCTTTTCTTCCACTAGATGTCACCCCACAGCTGGAAGCTGCTCTGTTACCAAGGGGCCACTGCTCTGTGCAAGCTTTCTTCAGTCCTGCAGAGTACTGTACTCAGTCTCAGGCGGGTAACAGTGTAGGCCTTGTACCTGGGTTGTACAGCTGGTGAGTAGCTGAGTTGAGGGTCAGACCCAGATAGCCCACCTGCACACATACGCAGTGGAGTAGCCAAGCTCTTTGACAGTCTCCAGCAGGAGGAAAGCCAACAGTAGTCCTCAGGAGACTTAGATTGTATCACATCTCTCTCCCTGCCCCTCTTCCCACCTCTAAAAGCCGGCTTCATGATGCTTAGCCTTTACATCCACTCACAGCGGAACTACCTCAGCCCTTGGTGAATTTTGAAAGATACTAGCTCACTGCTCATGCACCTACTAATGCCTCTGAGTATGAAGGTGGCAGTTCTCATAAGTGCTCTTTTGTCAAACTTGAGGGCACCCACCTGTGTCCTTCCAAATGCTTGGTTCCACAAGTGCTTCCATAAATAACCTAACACATTCATTCCCGCCAGCTTAAACCCTGGTGGTACATTCAGGAGGGTACAAGCACCCAATGGGACAGTATGCATATCCCACTGGTGGGCTCAGAGCCACCCAGCAGCGAGACATACAACTTACGGCCCCATCCTGAACTTGTTAAACCCAGACAAACGACTCTAGTAATAACCTTACATTCTTTCCTGCATTGGGGACACAGATACCTTCTGGTCTAACAGTCTTTTAGTCAAAATCCTTAGGGCTTTAGATAGCCCAGCAGTTGCACTCCAAACCATTTATCCCAGAAAAATGAAGACTAGGAGTTACATAAAATCTGTACACAATGTTTTTTAGAAACTTTAACGTAATAGCCCAAAACTAGAGAAAACCAGATGTCCTTCAGTGGGTGAACATGTCATGGAATACTACTTAGCAATAAAAAGTGACAATGTATTAATAACACAGCGATCTGCATGAATCTCCAGAGAATTATGCAGAGTAAATAAGGTATGTGAATAAGATTTCACATACCATATGGTTCCATTTATACAACATTCTTGAAAGGAGAGAATTAGAAATAGAATGGAAAGTAGTAGTTTCCAAGGTCTAAGAAGAAAGGAGTAGGTACAGCTAAAGGAGAGCAACACAAATGAAAGCAGACTTATTCTTTTCATAGTATGAACTCTGTTACCTTTAGAATAAACCCCTTGCAGTTTTTTAACATTGAAATTTGAAGCAAAATCCTATACTAGAGAGGCATTAATTGTGAAGATTCTATTTCAGTGGTTAAAATGAGATAGGTAAAGTGCTAGGCTTTGAATGAATTCAGTTCCTAGTTCAAAAAATTGAATTAAGTGGCCTAGGGATATAAAGTTTGTCTATACTGGTATTATGGAATCACAGATCACTAGGAAATGGGTGAAGGTAGATGATTTGTGTGGTACCTTGTTTTCATGGCGTTTACTGACACTGCTGTGGGAATGCTCCTCGAGTCCAGTTTGTCATCAGTAACCCTGATAGCCTTTATGCCACAACCTGACATACACACTGTGAATGAATCTTCATTAAGTGCCATTATTTCTCTATATAATTTGAAGTAATTTGGTAAAAATGAACATGAATGACCAGTAAAAGGTTAACATGAGTTTCACCCTGACCATGAATTTGGGATTTGACTTTATATTCCACCACTTAGCATGGCATGTTTCAGGCATATAGTCAGTGTTTGTTTAATTAATCAGTTAATTAATGTTGTTGTTGTTCATTCTGCTTGCTCATGACCCTGCTTCCAGGGTCCCTCTCAGAGTCTCCCTCAGTACAAAGAGGAGCAACTCAAGGGGACCCCGTGGAAGGAGAGTGGTGGACCAACACCCCAGCTCAGAAGCAAGGGCTGGAAAAGAGGACTGCAGCTAGATTTGGGCCAGATTTCCTTTCACACTGAAAAGAGGATGAAGGGTAATCTCAGGAGGAGATTTAAATATTAGCATTCTGGGGGCTGGGGATTTAGCTCAGTGGTTTCGCCACCTGCCTCGCAAGCGCAGGGACCTGAGTTCGATCCCCAGTACCAAAAAAATAATAATAATAATAAATAAATAAATATTAGCATTCCAGGAAGATTAGAAATATTTTTTCTTAAATTGATCCTGCTTGGTTCAAATATGGCTTTTTTTCTGTTTTAGAAGCAGTAGTTTTTCTAAGAATGCTCTTGTTTGGGCAGGGTGGAGCTCAGTGGTAGCGTGCTTACCTGGCACACGCAAGGCCCTGGGTTCCAGCCTAGTTCCACAGATAAAATACAGACTCGTTGGTGGACAATATGAGATCTAGCTTCCATTTACAATGTGAAAACTAAAGTGTTTTGAACTGCAGACAGTGACAGAGAGTGAATTTTTAGAACTTGGTTTGTTTTTTACTGGTGACACATACTTCGATTCCCCCTCTTCTCTTTTCTCTCCCTGCTTGCTTGTTTGTGGGCAACAGAGCAGCTCCCTGAGCCCTTCCATTCCTGCTTTTCGCTGCCTCCTCTCTTCCCTGGCCTCTTGTCGCTGCCTCGGTTTTCTGGAGAACATTTCCAAGCCCTGCTGGCCTGTCTGTATGTAAGGGAACAGCGTGTTCTTTTTCACACCACACCTTTGTTGTAACTGAGTTTTCATTTGATTGTAGATCCTTGCTGGCACGTTACTGAGTGTTTTTCTTGAAGCTGCTTAAGAATTGAGAGAAAGTGCTTCGGTACCCCGGAGGGAAGATCAGATCTTAAGGTACGTGAGTACTTCTGCTGTGGACGCCTGTACCGGATGTGAAACCCTCAGTGGCTGGTGGCCCTATGTTCAGGCAGATTCAGTTCTGTGTTGAGATGAGCAGTGCTGTCTGGCTTTGGGCTTATTAAACACAGGGGTGAGGTGAGCAATTTCTCAAGGACAAAGAAACTGACGAAATTCACAACACTTACTCACCTAAGAGGAGACGACAAAGCTTGCATTTTTACGGAGCCAACTTTCAGAAAACTCCCAGTCGGCCCACAAGAATTCTTACTGTGTTTGGATCAAAACACCAATGAGATTGTTTTTCACCGTCCTTACAGAATTTAGCCAAAACATAATACTTTTTGAAAAAGCACTCAATATGTGGTATTTTATTTTTAAAAAGGTTTGTGATAAACTTTGGATCTTTTTTATGATGCAATCCATGCATACTGTAGGGGAAAGGGGGAAATTAACTAAAAGAGTTCTTGACTATCTTATTGAGTAAATTCTCATGGAATTAATTTTTTTCTAAAGTATCAGTATTATAATCTGGAGGGGTTTTTTTTTAATCTTGATCTCTGTAATTCTTAATCATAAGCAGATTTTCCCCTGATTTGGAATTCTCTTTTGTCGGCTCCTGCTTGCCCTTCATATCCACCAAGTCCTTGCTTGTTTTGTGTCCCTCTCCAGGGAGTCCTCTCTCTCTACCATGCCTGATGTGACTGCTGTTTACTTGGCTTAAAAATCCTACAGTGACTCTCACTGAAATTCAAGGAAAATAAACTTTACCATAGAGTTGTTAGGAAGACGAGGTAAAATTCATTAAAACCCTCTGATGGGTGCCTGGCCAGAACAGGTCCTCGGCCTCCCCCTCCCCCACAGACCCCAGGCCGGCTCCAGAGCCCTGGTGTGACTTAGCCAAAACACAGTACTTCTGGGGAAAAGCAATTAATATGCAGCCCAGGGCTGGAGGGAGGATGGCTGTGCTGCGAAGGGGCCCCAGGACCACAAGAACCCCACCCAGCTCAGCAGCCCTGTGTTCTGCTTTCGTGAGTGCCCTGGTCCAGTACTCACTTCGCTAGTGTTCTGGAAAGGACTTCACCTGAAAAGCCGTGTGAGCTGAGCCTGGCTGGGACCAAGCCTTTGTTCCTGTACAGTAAAGAGCCAGCTCTGTGACAGCAGCACTGTCTGCCTTTCCAGTTTCTCGTTTCGGTTATTTTCTCTACAGATGACCTAGTAAAGTTTCTTTTGATAGTCTTTTTCTTAACCGAACCAAAGGAAAGAGGTTTTGCATTTGCTAAGGCAGAACGTCCTGAGGGTCCAGGCAGGGAAGTGTTGGAGACAGGCTAGGAGTCCAAGAGCAGGTACGCCAGGCGATGTCAGCTGCACGGCTGCTCTCGTCCTGCTCTCTCTTCCCAGGCAGGCAGGCTCTTCCTCCTTTGTCTTCAGGAGTGGAAGTTTGGCGAAAGCGTGTGTTGAGAGGACAACAGAATACTGCAGAATAGGGTTAATATGTAATAAGAAAGGTAATCTACATTGATTTCGTGATATCTCCAATTTTTTAAATTGTTTTTACTTAACTTTTTGAATAAAAATTTTAAACCAGTGCTATAAACACAACGTTCTAGCAGGTCCTTATTGAAGGCCAATTAAGTTATCTTTTTTTCCTGTCCCTGCAGGTAACTTTACTTATTTACAGTATAGAATAACTTCTAAAAAAGCAAATACATGAAAGAGAATTACTTTATATGAAAGTAAAAATGTATACCAGCAATAACATTCATACACACACATATATATATGTATTTCTTTGATGTTTAAAGATCATGTTATCTGTGTCTTCTGACAGTATAATTTACTTTAGCCATTATATCTTCCTTACCTTTAAAAATATCTCTTAATCCATTTACATGATGAAAAGCAAAAAGAGCTTTATAGTAATTTAATTGTAATTTCAGTCCAGCAGATGTGAATAAAATATTTTAATGGAAAATAAGATATAATTGATATTTTCATTATTGTCTCTTTTTGGTAAGGTAGTGAGTATGTTACAGGCAGGGGGCAAAGAAGGGTAAGAAATAATGCTTTTCTGATTAACCTCATTGTCTCGATTTAATTGGGCTGCATCAAATCTCACACACCCGTATTTTGTTACAGGCACCTTCCACCAGTCACATCGGAGAAATGTCCTACGTTTTTGTAAATGATTCTTCCCAGACTAATGTGCCCTTGCTGCAAGCCTGTATTGATGGGGACTTTAACTATTCCAAGAGGCTTTTGGAGAGTGGCTTTGACCCAAATATCCGTGACAGCAGGGGGAGAACCGGCCTTCACCTTGCAGCTGCCCGAGGGAACGTAGACATCTGCCAGCTGTTGCATAAATTTGGTGCAGATCTGCTGGCCACAGACTATCAAGGAAACACAGCTCTTCACCTCTGTGGCCACGTGGACACCATCCAGTTTTTAGTTTCCAATGGACTCAAAATTGATATTTGGTAAGTCCTTTGTGGGTTTTCAAGTCTTAAGTATTCCTTCCCACTCGTCCTTCAACTAATCCTTTAATTTTAGTCTTGGTGTTCTTTCTCCATCGATGAGTTGTAATGACAAATTCAGAAAGGTATTGAAGACAATAAAATCTTATTACGAAAGTGAATGAACAAGACATTAACTTCTAGATTTATGCTGAAGCATTGTAATTTTTTTCTGTGAAAATAGTTGCCAGTTTATGCTAATTAATTGAGTAGTGTAAGACAAGGGAAAAAGAAGGAAAGAACTAACATTTGTTGAGAATCTACTGTGAGTCGGACCATGTTTACTTAAGTTAGTTTGTTTTATCCTCAGAACGAACAGCTCTTGGAGTTAGCCTGCTATCTTCATTTTACACGAGAGGTTTCAGAGATAAGAGGCCACATAGCTTATAAGGGTCAGAGTGGGAATTTGAGCCTAGTTCCACTAACTCCCAAGCTCACGTGGCTTCTGTCACATAATTTCTCTGGGGCCCAAGTCCCTTTCAGACTGAACAGTGTGAGGAAGTCATAGGTTTCTTATTTGATTTAGTGATATCCCATATCTTGAATGGGAAAGATGTCAGGCCACCTTTAAAACTGAGCTTGAGATTTAAATTACAGTTCCCTGTTGCCGAGAGAGTTTTGTTGTAGTGCCTTTGAATCTGAACAGGACAGTAAAGGGCTCTGTTAGCACAGAACAGAATGTGGGGGAACTGATTGCAGGATTCAGTACAGTTTGAGTTCTGTCCTGTTACTAGTGTTAAATAGATATGTAAATTAGGAAGCTTTTTTTTTTAATTCTTAAGATTTTAAAATATATATGTTCTTCCTATAAAACATAGGAATTGTTGAATAAGAGGGAAACCAGAACTGAACTTCCCAGTTAATCTCAAAGATGTTATCTCTTTTTTTATTTATTCTCATTTATCCCTCTTTTCTACATTCTTTTTCCTTTTCCCTGGAAGAAAAAGATAGGCTAATTCAAGCATCAGCTTCTAGCTTGACTATTGTCTCTGCTCTGGGTCTTAATTTTGACTCATTTGGTCTCATGCTTTCCTCACTGAGATCTATACAAATGGACATTAACTGTGTAATTTAGCTGTTATAATGGTCTCTTTATTTTATGAACTTTTTCTTAGCAATCATCAAGGTGCTACTCCTTTAGTTCTGGCAAAGCGCAGGGGTGTGAATAAAGATGTGATCCGATTGCTGGAATCTTTGGAAGAACAAGAGGTGAAAGGATTTAACAGAGGAACCCACTCAAAACTGGAGACCATGCAAACGGCTGAGAGTGAAAGGTACTTGAGATGTAATGTTTAAGGGGCACGTCACTGAGTACCAGGTCCTTTGTGGTGACTTTGCAAACTTTATAATCCTTCCTTTAATGTGTGGAGTTTTGATACTGGCTTTGATCTCCAGATAGGTCCTTAGTGGCTTCAGATTACAAGCTCTCCACAGAAAGTTCTATGTGCCACATACATACTGTGCCCTTAACCACCAGCTGTGTTGGCAGTACAAAGGAGAAAAGGCAGCTAAGAGCTGAACCAAGGGAAGGAAATACATACAAGCTTGAGAATTTTAAGTACAGATCAGAAAAAAGAATGGAATTTCAAGAAAGGAAGAAAATAGGCTGAAACTTGGACAGGATGGGAAAGATTGTAAAGGTCACTTCAAGGATAGGGAAGTAGGATGCTGGGAAATAAACAGGAGAGGGAAACTAAGACAACATTTAGCACACACACAATTTAGTCATTGAAAGTGACTTTTCCATAAGTTGGAACTAATGGACTCTGGGCTTCTCTACGTAATTGAAGCTGATAATTAGTGTCTGACAAGGCCCTACACATCTCACCGCTTTTCATCTAGACGCAGTGGGAACACAGTTCAGGGAGCTCTGGAAAGGAGGCAGCTGTCTTCTCTGGTCTGACCATGTAGCTCCACAGGTAGAGTCAGTAGGTCACCTAGTTGTTAGTGGCTTACAGCTTGTTGGACCATTGTGGAGTTTCTGCCTCTAGGTAATGCAGAGGAGGAGGATGAGCTTACTGTAACCTCTTCCCACATTCTTCAGTAGAATAGAGATGGAGCGAAGAGGAGCCAGCATCAGCTGTTGACCCAATATCTGATTGACTGGGACATGAATTTGGGATTACACAAACCCCTAGACCTTTGGGATCATAGTTTCCATGAGTTCTGCTTGAAATGTCTTTCATAGTTTGTCCTTCCTCTGATTCCTCCTCCTCCATGTGCTGGCTGGTATACTCCTGGGGCCACTAATTCCACTCTCAAGCTGAGGACTGTTTTGTGTAAATACTTTTTAAGTACTTATCGTTGTCCTAAAGAAATGCAAAAGTCATTTCTTAGATGGTTCATGCTCCTCAAGAGTTATCACCGAAAGCTGACATGTGGCTAAGGCAAAAAGGAAGTCAGAGATGCACTTTGCAAGCCCTCTCTTGGCTGTGTCCTCGGCATTGACAGTCAGAATGCCAGGAGCGCTCTCACAGTGCTAATATTCGTTACAGACCACTCCAGATAACTTGAAATGTGTTTCCGTCTTTCTATAAAATACCATTCAATTACTTTAAGCTTCTTTACTATGAAAAATATCCAAGAACATGTTTTTGCTGTGTGTATTTTGGGGACTTTAATACTGATAATAGCCAGTTCCTAGGTCCCTCTTTATTAGAAATATACTTCTAGCTTTATTTTATCGCAGGTGTGATTACTCATTAACTAAGAAGTGATTAGTTGTTTGAGCAGCTCAGTATCAAATGCTACTCTGGCTTTTTTCAAATACCTGTCATTTGGCTTCAGCATAAAGAATTTGGATAATTTACAGCTTTATATAATGTCTGTTCTTGAAAAATTAATACTTGTATATTTTTATGTTTAAATTTTTAAAATTTATTATTAGTACATGTTTGTGGTACAGAATGATTACATTCATTGTGGGGAGTTGGTACTATAAATGGTACTCATTTATTTTTAAATATCATATCATTTTTTCTATCTTACTCCTGCCCCTTAGTGTCAGGGTAGAAGTACAATAGCCAAGGCTTGAGTTTCTAGGCAGCATCATTAGGGAGAACACAAAGCAGACCACAGCAGGATAGACCTCACAGCTATCAGGATGGCTGTAAGCAAAAAAACAGACAGCCATGGTGTTAGAGGAGAAACGGAGAAATTTAAAGGTGATGAAAGTGTTTTGGAATTAGATCGTGGAAATGGTCTATAACTTTGTGAATGAACTAAAAGCCACTGGATTGTACAATTTGAAAAGATGAATTTTATGGCATATGAGTCATCTCAATTTAAAAAGTGGAGGGCCAGGGATTTAGCTCAGTGGTGCTGCCACCTGCCTCATAAGCACAAGGTCCCAAGTTCAATCTCCAGTACCAAAAAAAAAAAAAGAAACACATGTGGGCCAGGGATTTAGCTCAGTGACACGGTGCCTGGCTTGCAAGCACAAGGTCCTAAGTTCGATCCCCGGTACCAAAAAAAAAAAGTGAAAGAAGTTAAAAGGATTGTCTAGCACACAGTATTGTGGCTTAGCTGAGTGACAGCCTGTTTAAGACCAGAAGATAACACAAAATGTTAAATGCATTTACTGCCATGTCTTCCTCATGATTTCCCAAGACAGCCTAACTTCTGTGTAAAGGCTTATAAATTAAGTTGATGAAAAATATTTCCCCACTCCTACTTATCCTAAGTTTAATTTAGTTCCCTTTCATTATATTTTTATTATGTAGGTATAGGATGATAGAATAATATAGATGACATGTTTGAAAAGAAAAAGTGTGTTCGTATGTGTATACATACACACACACACACACATACACACACATGCGCGTGCACACACACAGAGCATTATGCTGGAGTCTGGTATTCCCTGGACAGCAGAAAGCATTTTACTGGATAAAACCTCTATTAAAAATTCTGACTGGCAGAGCTTTATGAGTGATCACTGAATTCTTCTCATTTTAGACCTAACATCTTTGAGTGTGAGAGTATCTCATATCTCAGCTCAGACATAGTCAATAAATTTCAAATAGCTCAAAGTAAACACGTTCTGAATTTCTTTATCTATTTATGTTTTTGTTTGTTTAGGCCTTCTCAAAGTTGTAATTGTACGTTAGAATTTGTTCAAGTTTTCTTAAATCTTTGTATTGTTATAGATACCCATGAAAAAAATCTTCTCTTATTCAGGTAACCATTGTTTCACTTGAAAAGAGTTCAGATGTTAAACACACTAGCACACTAGGACCAGCTGTCCATGACTGAAGGAGACATACTGTACTAGGAGAGGCTGAAGGACCTTTGCTGAGCAGTACTGAGACACAGAGGCCGGTGTGGTGGCACACGCTGTGTCCCAGCACTCAGGAGGCCCTGGAGGGAGCAGCGCCTGAGCTCTGGAGTTCCACACTGGCCTGCACAGTGTAGCAAGAAAATGCCTCAAGGGAAAGGAAGAAGGAAAATAGATGTAGGGCAAGAAATAACTGGCAGGTTTGTATGTGCTTATGCGTAGTTCAGAGTAAATGAGACTCCAGGACGTTGTTTCATGCTGTTTTCATTGAAGACTATGAGGAGAAGAGTTTAAGAAGGGCAGGAATGAGTTTTTACAACCAACAGATAGATGATACCTGTGATTATGGTCTTTGTGGCTTTAATCTAAATGACACCCTGTGACCGAGTCTGCCTGTTGTGACATAACGGTGAGTGCTAATCCCTTCAAGCTGTCATTGTGTCACAGCATCGTCGCAGACGCTACAGTGAGAGATCCTGTTTCTCTCTGTGGTGGTCATGTGCCCAGTGACAGTGCTCAGAGTGCTGCAGTCGGTGTTTTTATAGTGTTCATACTACCTTGCTTTCAACCTGACTCAGCTGTTGTGCGGAAGAGAAACATACTCCTTCTGTCTTACTGCCCAAGATAGAACCAAAATGAGCAGGAAGAAACAAACAACTCTCAGTGAATCCCCAGGCCACCTGTACGACACACTGCGATTAGAAGATTATACTAACAGAAGGAATGCCTTCATTAGTCACATGATTGAATTAATAAAAATTTTACTTTAACTTTCACACATTTTATATAAATGATTTTTAAAATTTACTCATTTTGCTTATTTTCATTAATGTGAATTCTCAGATTATGAATTTTTATTCTGAATCTTCAAAATTTAAAATGTTTTCCTGTAGTACCTTGATAGAAACAACAACTCATTTGAGCTATTTTAAGACTAGGACTTTTAATTTGATTCAGCTAAATTCTAACCCAGGAAACATAATCATTATGGTTTATGAGTGTGTAGTTTAAAGTAGATCGGACACTTGAGGATATGTAAATCAGCACACAGGTGGCTGGGGCATCTGTGTGAGTCCATTTTCTTCTCATAAGTGTGCGTGATAAGGCTGGCCTTTTCTAGGTAGCTTAGCTCCTGTTGTTTGACTCTTTGCAGTGGATGCAGCGTGTCATTTCATGCCCCTCCTTTTCTCTCCTTCGTTCACAGCGCTATGGAAAGCCATTCTCTCCTCAATCCCAACCTCCAGCAGGGTGAAGGAGTCCTCTCCAGCTTTCGAACCACATGGCAGGAGTTTGTAGAGGACCTGGGCTTCTGGAGGGTCTTGCTCTTGATCTTTGTCATTGCTTTGCTGTCTCTCGGCATTGCCTACTATGTGAGCGGGGTGCTGCCCTTCGTGGAAAACCAGCCGGAACTGGTGCATTAAAGGGGCTCATGGGAGATGGGCCAAAACCTATCTCCTGGCACCCAGTATTGGTTCTCCATTTCTCAAAAGTTTTCTCAGTGCAAGGCAGTGAGGGCTGTACATTTTTATCTTTTCATTTGTAACCCGTGTAGTACAGGGTCTGAACTTCATGCTGTGGTCAAGTTTACTGCGTCCTAGTGCTACCTCTGACTCAGCCTGACTTCCCACAGAAACCTGTTCGTGGCCTCCTTGATAAAAACATGGAATTGACTGAAGAAAAAGGGTTTCTTGTATGATTTGATGTTGTTAGTGGTTTTGTTTTTAATTTTGTTAAAGCCCCTTTTGTCTTTACGTTCTCTGTGGAGAGGAGAGCAAAACCTTTCAGCTTAAAACTTGAAGTACTTTTTTCAAACCCTCTGTGCCAAATTAGTAGTTAGCCTCTGACTTAATTGCAACATTTTCTAGTCTAATTATAAATCAAACAAAACTTCTGAAAATGAGCTGCGCTTTCTCCAGAACTGCTTAAGTCGATCTGGTGTTTATCTTAGGGTAATTTAATTCTTATAATAAACTGTTGCTACAGTCTATAGCCCTATTTATTATCGGTTCCATAAGCTAACTGTGTGGCCACAGCTGTAATTGTTTGATGCATAGTCTTATTTAGAGCGCGGTTACACTTTGCGTTAAGAGTCTTACGGGATCAGTAATTCTCTGACACCAGGAAAAGATACAGTATTTCCGAATAAACAGCCCTGAACTGTATTGTCCTTGTGTTGTAAACTTTTCATGGGAGATAGCATTATATAAATTGAAATCTGGCCTCCAAACTTATTGCAGCATTCAACAGGGTTTGAAGGACTCTTTTGTTAATAATTCTGTAATGTATAAATCACATTCTTAGGTTATTATAAAAGCATACTAAGGCTTAATAATTGTGCATTGAGTAAAGTCAGAAAACTGTAGTGAAAACTGATGGTTTTATATCTGAAACAGGTATGTAAACAAATGCTAGTTGAATTGTTGCTAGACAGAAATTGCAGTTACACTAGAATTGATACATCTATGATCCTTTTGTTTCTTGGTATTTCTTTGTATTTATTTATGTGGTTGTGAGGCTTTTTTCTTTCATGTGGCTTTATCCTCTTGAAGAGCTCCTGTAAAGTTTCTGATTAACTGGATGCTTCAGTATCACCTTTCAGATTCTTGCTTTTAGGTTAGGTACAACCAAAAATAATCGTATTTCATATAACTACAGCAAAAGAAAAAAAAATCAGTTTGAAAGCTTTGGAATTAGCTTTACATTGTAAGTCTAAACAAATATGCAAATTGATTAATTTATTAAATATGTTGTATTTTTTTAAGATTTAATGTTCCCTTTTAAGTGCAATTTCTTTGTATTCTATTGCCTGCATTCATCATTCTATAATACCACCAATAAATGTATTTATAAATCCTTAACCACAATCTGTTTTCTTAATGTATCACAGCTTTTCTTTTAATTTTACAATTTTATAATAGATTGCAATTGGCTATTTAAAAAAGGAAAGCTTGTTTTCAAACCTGATATAATGTATATGTATAGACTCTGACGTGGTTGCCTCGTAGGTGCTCTGAAGCTAGTTCAGGTGAACTGCTTGTGAGATGAAGAGTAAGCGCCTCCCGATGAGCAGGCCACTTGGCATGCCTCCCCTCATTTCATCCTTGTACCCCTCGGGCAGGACGTGTTCCCATTGCGCATGATGAGAAACTGACTCAGGGAAGGTTGGGTAACATGTCCAGCCCAAGCTCACATAGCAAGCCTGTGATGGAGCAGGGATCCCCGATTGAGGCTCTGATCCACTTAGCAGTTGGCTCGGTCCTACTGTCCTGCTGTCTGGCACGAACCTGGCAACCGTGTAGTGTTTAGCTAGAGCCTTGCCTGCTGCCATCTCAGTGGGGAGTACTAAATTTTCCACTTCTGTGGCTGCCTCTGTAATGCTCCTTTTTAAAGCGTCCTCCCAGTGTAATAACTTTTAATGTTCAACTTCAAACCCTGGCAAAACCTTCCACAGTTCACCATGGCCCTCCCTCTTTCCGACCCATCTGTTCCTACTACCTAATGGACTCAGTGTGATTACTTTTTCATTTCTTGGTCTGCACCCCTGTAAACATATGTATTTTAAACATTTGTATCTTTTTATTTGTCTCCAATTATAACTTCATGAAAGCAGAGCCTTCGTCTCTGTTTAAGCCCCGTCTGTCCACAGTGCGTCCTGTAGAGCTCTTTGCACACAAGGGAAAGTTACTTTTGTTTTTTTACCTGTCACTATATGTTTTTATTTTCAAATGAAACAGCTTTTTGCTTCCACTGTTCCCCTAACAAGCTGCGTGTGTGAACTGTGCTGGTGTTCTTTGTCCCGCATTGTGGCTGCCACTTGGTCCCTAAGCTCTGCAGGGTGGTGCTGTGTAGTCCTTACCTAAGGAGCACTGGGCCCTCCGCTGCATGGTCTGTGGCAGTTACCAGTTGGGGTAGACATCCAGGAGCAACATTCACCTTCATCGTTATTTTGATATTTTTAATGTGTGTGTGTGTGTGTGTGTGTGTGTTTTAACTTGCCCTCTATCTTTGACTTCTTTGTGTGTATGTCAAAGTCCTTTCATTTGCAAGAACCAGAGTCTAAATTGGAAGCAGCTTAAACCATTGGTTCCAATGGGAGGATAGACTCCAAAGGTGACCTAATCCAAGGTCTTCAGCTTGGTCCTGTGCTGTGGGCCCTGCCCTCCTGTTGGCCCCCTCCCCTAGGTAGCTCTGAGATGAGTACAGAATTTTCAGCCATCACATCCATTGATAACCATGTAGAGAAGAAACCATCATTTCTATAACTTCCTCGTAGGAGACTGCTTGGAAACCCCTGGCAAAATTCCTGTGCTTCATTGGCTGACATTACATCTTTTTTTTTTCTTTTTTGGTACCGGAGATCGAACTCGGGTCCTTGCACTTGCACAACAGGTGGCAAAACCACTGAGCTAAATCCCCAGCCCCCTAACATTACATCTTATGCCTTTGGACACAGGAAAGCTGCTCATCTTATGGCATCCAGGAAAAGGAGCGAGTCAAGGGAGGAGCCTGAAAGGGAGATCTAAGCCAGGTCATGCCCACAGTGACCGCCTCTTCCCACAGGCCCCACCTCCTAACAGGAAGTCAGCTATAAGCTCCCATAATTCCAGTCACCTTCCAAAAGCCCAGGTATGGTCACATGAGGCTTGGAGGGACACCTAGATACAAACCATAATGCCTCCGTGTCCTAAAGAAAGTTACTGAGAATGCTGTGGGCACAATGCTTCATGAAGACCCCTGAGGAGGAATTTTGCTTCCTAAAACCACAAACAGCTGCATTTCTGCTGAGCAGTTACTTCACCTTGTGTTACCCAAGAATTGTGTAATTGATCAGGTAGAATTCCTTTTTCACCCTGGATTCTGAAAATTTAACACCAAACTTGGGTTCCCCTAGTAGCAATTGTAAATAGGTCATTACAGTGATTTATTATTTTATGTAAGCTATTCTGTGTAATTTCTCTTTTTTAGATCATGATGGGTGGATATTTAGGTATCCTTTTTAGTATGACTTGAAAGGACTACCATGAAACTACCCAATTTTTTTTTCTGGACTGTAACAGGAGAAAAATAAATTGACCTTTTGCAATTGGAAACAGTACTTTGTTGCCACCTATTTAAAATGCAATTATGGTTTCTGGCATGCCTGAGAATGTCACTTTACCTTATTTATGTGTCTTTGTTCCAACACAGATTTAAGTTCAGCTGACTAAGTGGGTGTTATTCTAAACCGTGGAAATCAAATGTCCTAGGTGGTTTTGTTCTAGCATTCTGATGGATGATTTGAGTCAAAGTTGAAAAATAGACATTAACAAAGTTAATGACGGAGGGACATTAGAGGTCATTCTTGGTGGGGGATGGGGGCCAAGAGGGACTGAATGACCCTGGCCCCACAGTTAGGAAAGAAACATTTATGTGTTCTTTTCCATATCACCCTTTCCATGTCTCCGTCATCCCCCACCCCAATATGCTGTTCCAAATATTATTTTTAAATACAAGTGTCTGGTGTTAGAGATGAAGATGGGCTTTCTTTCCATAGGGTTCTGTATACATTAATAGTCTTGATGACCTGGTTATCAAGTTGATAGCCTTATGAGCCACAAACATACATTCCTGTAACCCAGTCTCAATTTGTTTATCAGCAGGAGAGCCACCATAAACCTATCATCATCTCTTGTTAAACAATTTCTCTTAAGAAATCTTCCCACATAAAAAAAAAATCCACATGACTTTCTCTATAAAGCCCTGTCTGCCGTGAAAATTCTTTCAGGATGCTAAGCAGATAGCTCCAGAGCTTCAGTACAGACAGCTCTTCCACTGGCCAGTCACAGCACTTTGCATATTATAAGAGCAGCTATTTCTTTAGGGTTATTGTGAGCCACATACTTCTGATGCAAGTTAGGACAATGATGGCGAACCTTTTAGAGCTTTCAACGGTAACAAATAGCCCACTGCAGCATGCGTGGCATAGGTTCGCCACCACTGAGTTAGGAAATCAGGGGGTACAGGAACATGTGTAGACTTAAGCCCTGGGACTATAAAATGCTGTTGGATGGTTCTAAAAATACCATTCAAACCAGGCATGGTGGCACATGCCTTAATCCAAGCACTCAGAGGCTGAGGCAGGAGGATCACAAGTTCAATTTAGTGAGACACTGTCTCCAAGTGAGAAAGGACTGGGGATATAGCCCAGTGTGAAGCCTCTGGTGCTGCAAGAAAGAAAAAGACCCGGGCGGGGGGTGGGGGGGGGAGGAAATACCACTCACTGGCTGGTCCTCTCACCTGCCAGGTGTCATGAGCCTTTCTCCGTGTTTTCCTGGGTGTGCTTCCCCACAGTGAGATTGGGTGGATATAGAACAGCCCACACTTACGACAATGACAATACTCACTGTCTCTGCTTAGAAATCACTCATTTGAGGATGTTCAGTAAATTTCCTCTTGCTTTTTTCTCCGTAAAGATTTATTATGGCGTTTTGCTGTTAACATGAGTTTTGGGGATTTTTAATGTCTGAATTAATTTTAATATCAATTTTAAAATATGCCCCCACCTAGGGAAATTCCAACTTGAGATACACAGTAGTATGTTTCCTGAGATTTTTTAAAAGATAAATTATTTACTTGAATTATTACAAATTAAGGAATACAGTAATATTTTATGAGTAGATATATTTCAGAAAGCTTCAATTATTTTCCTCTCCTTTTCAAGGTATCCTTCTATGGGTATTTAAAATTTTATGATACGGAACATTAACTATAGAATCCTCATGCATTTGTGGGTGTTCATAGCCCAAATTTTTTTTTGAAGGTTCAAGAAAAATTGCCAGCCTAATTGTCTTGAATCTTTGTACTATAAATTACAAATACTTAGGTCGCAGAGTTATTTCCTCCTCTAGTCAAGCTGTGAAATGTTGACTTTCTGACACGATAGAAAGGATTCCCTTTCTTTGGGGATTAGTTTCTAAATTTGAAGACTGGGTCGGAGTTCTCAGGACTGTGTCACTGAAATTTCAGCCCCTACGAAATAAAAAATGTTTTGAAATAGTTTCTAGGTCACTGGCACAGAAAGCTGGCAAAAAACTGTAACTTTCTGAGTGGTCCTAGTTGGTACAATTCTATCAGCACAAGCTGTTCTTTTAGACTGTGATTCAAGTTTAAGAGAAAGTAAAATATAGGGATCCCCAAATGTAACCCTATCCCAAAAAGTGCTTTTGCATTCTTACTTTATAAGCATAAGCATGGAGCATTCGCCTTTATTTTGGTACATCCCCTGATTTGGGAAGAGGGGAAGCATATTTAGCCAGATATCAGGCCCATGTTTCACATTACTGAACAGTACACTATCATTAGTTATTTTAGGTAAGTTCCAATTTTGAATCAGATCCTGTTGGCTGTGGTTATACTGGAAACATGTAGACCTGGTGCTAACAGCTCCCCACCCTACTTAATATGAACTGACTGTGGTCAAATATTTTATGTTTTCTGAACCTATGTTTTTATATGCAAACCAGAAATGATAACCTCAAATTTAGTATAATTAATAATAAAAATATGAACTCCCTTATTTCAGTGCTATGTGTGTTCCAGGCTCAACAAAGGTTGAAACTGTAATTATCCCCATACAGAAAATGAAGGTTAAAGAGTTAAATGTGTCATGGAGTGGTCATAGAGTAGACGACAAACCTGTCTAACTCCACTGACTTTGTGCTTAACTCCTGTGCCGTCCATCCTGCTTTTTTTTTGATGGATAAGATCCCTATTCAGGTACCTGGTACTTCAGAGCATGTCAACGTATGTTACTTCTCCCTGACTTGACAGAATAAATTATGTATTTTATTGACCAAACTCTAGCCTTTTATGCTCAACA